CGTAATGAAATATGATGTTGAGCGATGATCAATTGTGGACAGATTACCTTTTCATAAAAAGAATTTTCAATTATAAAAATTTAGAATGTTAAATTAAATACCAACCCTTGTAGAAGATAATGAATTTTGAATTTGATAAGTGAAGTTGATTATACCAAAATATTGTAGTTTGTTCGCCTTTAATTGCTGTTGACGGAAAATAACAATATGTGTCGATCAAAGATAAATAATGGATATAGATAAGATAAATAATGCTTATTACTATTGGTGTATTTTCAATACGTCTGTTTAGCATTACAGTCCACAATTTTCCTACATTACTCCATTACATTATTACGTACATAGATTTCTGAACTCTCGATCATCCAATTAACCCTTCACTAAACTTCTTTATATCTGAGATCATCTGGCGCCATTCATCAGTATATTATTTTCTGCTTGTCTACAACTACGTATAAACGTATCGGGTCAAAATAATCACTAGCAGTATCCATCGAAATTCTTATGTATTTCAGTATAAGCATTTACAAGTAATGAAATGTGAAGTATTTGTTGTTAACAGCTACGCTTCCGATATTGCATAGTCAAAAAATTAAGAAATAAAACAGTTTTAAATAAATGACAGAATAAAGGATATACCACTGTTCAAAATTATAGAGAGAGAGAGAGAGAATAAAACATGAGCAAAGAGAGAAAATCAAGATCCAAACATATATACACTTATATTAACGACTAAATAGATTTTTATACTGTAATAATAGCATTAAATAATATTCTAGGAAAACTGAGATTGTTTTTTTGTCTCATATAATGTCGTTTCCTGTCTTCTCTCTCTCCTCCGAGTATAATCTATCGTTTTTTTATTGACTCAGGTATGCATAGAGAGAAGAATGAACACCACGGGCACAGTTAATCTCTACGAAAAGGTTATGAATGTTTTGGCTTGTTTGCTCTCTTTGTCTTCCTTCTTAATACATGTACATTGGACAAGGGACAGTGAGAAAAAATTGATAAAAATGTTTTTTTTTCGTATCAGTTTATTTTTATTAATTTTATTATTAGTCGATTTTGTTGAAAATCAAATGGCTGTTGGTAATTTTGATTTACAAACATTACAGTGTTGGCGTTGTGAACCAAAAGAATGTCATAGACATTTTGATTTTACTCAACATCGAATGGAAAGTTGTGATGGAAAATGTTGGAAATCATTTGAAGTTATAGAAACAAAAACAAAAGAAGATCGTGAGAAAGCAGAAGAAACACCGGCACTTCGACAATGTTTTTCGAGTGAAGATCTAACAAAAGCGTCGACAATTGGTTTAAATACAGCGAACGGTTGTCGTGATGTTAAAATGCGTGAAAAAATCAAAAAATTTTGTTTTTGTGATAGTAACATGTGCAATGGTACTAAGAAACTTTATTCATCCGTGGTATTGATTTTCCTCTTTTGTAAGATTATTATTTATTTTTCTTAAAAGAAGACTATGCACCGCACACATAATCTAGAATAGAAACCATTACCATACAGTATGGTATTAAATGATAAAATATTCACTTGTGTAAAAGATTAAGCTTTGAAGAGAATAAATAATTGAATTAGCTATTTCATAGACTATTCTTGCAGATCGTGTAGCCTCGTCTTCTCACAATGTACACACGTGGGTAGAGAGTTGCCTACGTGAATGAAATAAAATGTTTCTTCTTAAAATTGTAGCTATTAAGGGTCGATGTTAAGGGAAAAATGTGGTTTGATCACCAAATTAATTAGTAGACAGAAAAGAAAAGAATATAAAGAAAATATATACAAGAAGAAACAGGGTGAAACAAATGGAACGTTTTAGTCCAATCTTATGATGAAGTAAAAGGATTATTCAAATCCCAATACAACGTATGTCAATGTCTTTATGTTCATGTACGCCTCCTGACATAACTATAACTGTCACTGATTGTGCATCGTTATCTGGTATGATTATCTGAATTTGACATATGTTGTATTGGGATCTGGATAATTCCTTTGCTTCATCATAAGATTGGACTGTGCACAAAACGTTCCATTCTTGCTACGACATTTTTTTGATGGTGTCATGTACAGTTTAGGTAGTTATTTATAACTATTCTGTGTTGACAAAACCAATAAAATTGTAAAAAACTTCAACTGTTGAAATTAAACTTCTGTTCTGCTTCTATTTCTTCTTGTATATACTTTCTTTATATTCTTTTCTTTTCTGTCTACTAATTAATTTGGTGATCAAAAAAATACATACTCTAGTATTAATAGAGAGCGAAATATTCTTGTTTCGTCGACAACTCATTCTCACACAGCCCCTTCCGCCTCTGATGTTCTCTGATCTATTTTGAAGTGGCCGATTTGTCGACGAAACGAGAATACCCCTAATAGAGCTACTATACGTTTCAAAAAAAAAATGTCCCTGACTATTTTTCGAATAACTTTTGATAGAAAGTAGGTAAAGAGATGCGGTTTTAGCTGTTCGAGAGCGAACACCTTAAGACATCTTGAGAAATATAAATCGGAACAGGTCTACCACCTGCAGGTGGTAAGCCATTCACATCTTTGAAAGACAAGGTTGGGAAAGAACGAAAAAAAAAGATTTTTTTCTCGTTCTTTTATAGATTCGAACCAGCAAACCTTCCTCTAAAAAACCCCAGAGAGCTCATTTTTTTCTGTTCTTCCGTTCCCGATAGGAGGCGATTCCCCGAGGACGATCCTCACTCACGCTTTTTCATTATAATATCAAACGAACACTTCCCAAATAGGTTTTTGACTATGCTGATTCAAGTGGCAATGTTTGTTTTTACTTTGGAGCAAACTTTTACTATAACACAGCGGTTAATTCAGATAAGCTGAAAAATTAGAAGAAGATTTAGTGGATGAAGATGATGACGATTTTCAAGAAGACAAGGAGATTTCGGAGGAAGACTAAAAAACTATTTTTTTCTATTGTTTTTTATTTTCCACAGGTATTCGTTGTTAATTTTCGCAATGTTATGAATAAATTCTCAGTTCGAACTGTAATCAGTACTGTATCACGATCAACAATCGTTTCAAAATAAAAACAAACATTGCCACGTGAATCAGCATAGTAGTATCAGCATCTTTTTTTTTCGTTCTTTTCCAACCTTGTCTTTCAAAGATGTGAATGGCTTACCACCTGAAGGTGGTAGACCTGGTCCGATTTATATGTCTCAAGATGTCTTAAGGTGTTCGCTCTCGAACAGCTAAAACCGCATCTCTTTACCTACTTTCTATCAAAAGTTATTCGAAAAATAGTCAGGGACATTTTTTTTTGAAACGTATACTGGTTACGGTACTTTTACGTTTTTAGATATTTGTTAAAATCACGCATCGCACTCAAATCGATGCAATTTTTTTATCCATTTTACGAACAATCCAGGTAGTGTATGTCGTGGATAAATTAAAACACTACAAATTTACTTCTTCACCTTTATTTAATCTTAGAATCGAATAATCAAGCATACATAGAAAATGAAGTTTGTACACAAACGGCTATGTATCAACTCAGACACTTTTCTAATTAAATACTTCAGTTGACAAAAAACGAAAAATATGAACAAAACTACGTTTTTTAAATGATCTATTTGATAAAGTATGAGTTTGTGAACTCTAATTTATTTAAACTTCTACGGACAGCACTACTCTTAAAGAAACATAGTTTTGTATATATTTTTGTCGATTTCCAACTAAGATTTATAATTAAAGAAATGTCTCACGAGAGAACCTTCTCAAGTGTTTAATCGCTTTTTCCTTAAAAATAGACGATTGTGGGTAATATTTGATGCTGATCACGAATCTGATATTCATTTCTGCTGCTGGGCGTTTCTAGGGTGGGTTTCGAAATCCGGATGTTCGAAGATCCGCTATGAACTTCCAGCTGAACATATTTTGACACTGCTAAATTGTAGAGCACGTTGAATTACCTATGAGGGAACACGTTCAGAACCAATGAATAAGTTTTCGCAGAGATCGAAAAATTTTACTTTTCAATCCAGTACGGAACCAAAATATTCCAGGCTTTTGAACCCTAAAATTTTTCTATAGGAAATTATTTAAATTTAGTTGGGAAATGTCTAGATTAAGGTAACAAAATTGATCATTATTTTAGGACGAGGCATACACTTTCCAAAGTGATCGTAGTGTGATACTCGATTCCATAAAAAACGACTGAATGGCTACTGACTTATTGTTCTCAAACACCGATTATGAATCGTATGATTATATCGACAAGTAGATATTTGTTGTTGTTTTTTTCAAGCCTGTGTGTTTTATGTGTCAATGAATACTCTCGTTCATTATAATATCAATGTATTATTGCATACAAATGAGGGAAAGTATTAATTGCAGCAGGTTTTTGATAATCGAATGATACTCTTTAAACCAAATTGGTATTCGAAGATATTTTTCCGCAACATTCAAATCTTCAAGTAGAGCATGTTTAAGACACCATTATTCTACATATAGGTAGCTTTTATTGGATACATACTTTATTTGTATGATGAAACGGGAGAAAACTCTAATGAATCGCGAAGATTATGCAAATATCAGATAAGTAGGAAACAAGTCCCATTTCCTACCAAAAAAATAATAATGGAAGAAATTAGGTTTTTTTGTACTCTTAAACGATCGATTGACATGAGAACAGTTCCATAATGCCAAGTGCAATATGTAAAATAGCAGGTTATATCTGTTAATGATGATGTTATCAGATATTTTCCAAAGCTTTCAAAAACCTCATTGTTTCAATTTTTTAACCAATTCATCTTACGGATCACAGCCGTCATTTTGTTCAGGTTTTTCTGTTCTTTTGAATGGATTAACTTTTAAAACTTTGAAAAACACTATTAACATGAATATGATATATGATGAACATGTTAGCTCTAAAGAACAACAACAATACCTGAACGTCCATGTATAACGCTTATTTTTGAATGAGAATCCATATTGTTACAAAATGGTTATAGCTTTTCATCCCATTATCGAATTATTAGAAAGAAAATCTTAGTAACAAAGGTCTGATTTGAACCGTTTTCACATAGCATCGAATGCTATTCTCGCTTATATTCACTATATGTACGTAAAATATGATCCGGTAATTGAAAGTCAGCGTCTAAATAGCCATGTTTGAGTCTGACTAAAGCAGTTTTTTCATATACACTTTACAATCGCGATCCTTCATCAGTGAGAAAACGATGAGTTATCATATATTTTATTTATTGAAAACTGTTTTACGTTTCATAACTGGTTTATATAGACATACATAAGCAAAAAAACGTACATTTTGCACACTTTGTAACAGAGAAAGAAAAATAAAACAGTAAATAAGATCAATAATTAAAATATTTGCAAACGTACACAAAACATTTATGTTTTTTTAAACAATAAATAACGTTGCAAAAGCAATAGGTAACTCAAATATCATGACTAATGTGAAGAAGTTATACGAATTAAAAAATATTATAAGAGGAAAAGAAAACATAGCAGAAGGACAAAGCAGGTAATAAAAAACAGAATCAAATACTTATTTCATTTTTAATGCAGAGAATATACTATAACAAACAATCATAAATGTGCCATTTAAATGGCTCGATGCACGATAAAAATAAATCAATATTCACTAATATTCTCACATCTACCAGTTTTAGTCTACGTTTTCTTTTTACAACAGTGTAGATGGTTTCAAGTTAATCACCGGATTTTCTACTGAAATAAAAAAATTTTAAAAAAAAATGCATCAAAAGATATATCATTTGTTTCCAAACATATATACAAAGCGACAGCACACTGGAAAAATGTATCATCTTTAGATCCATTTGTACTATTTTTACTACACAACAATCCGTATAAGATCAACTTATCACTGTTTTAAACAGGCACAGGTTAAAAAACAAAGTCATATCACCATGAAGAAAAAAATAAAGTTTATTCAGAGTCACGGAAAAGTACTTGTTCATATTCAGTACACTCGATAATCCAGTAGATATTTTATTTTTGGTGAGGACGGATACTATCAAAAGTTGAGGAAAAATTTTGAAATTAATATTATTCTACCATGGAAATTTATTTTTCGCATTTTGTTTAAAAATTTTTCTTAAACTTTTGGCAGTACTCCTTATGAAAGACGAAAAATAGAAAATCTACTGGGTTATTGAGTGTGCTAAATACGAAAAAAGCACTTTTCAGCAACTCAAAATGAACTTTATTTTTCTGTCGGTGATATGTTACATGCACACACATACACACATTATTGAGTAATGCTACTAAAAGAAGAAAAGAATCACATTTAATTTGAACGTTAAACGTAGAGAAGATTTATATTCTGCTAAGCATTTGGGATAAAAAACAAACAAAAAATATTTAGACACCGGGCTTATTTTCGCACTGTACTTTCAGTACATTTTTTGGAAGGAAGGATCCCATCATCATAGATATCGTCATTGTGTAATGTCATGTCATTCAATACGTATCGTTCAAGTCCCTGTGTTATAGGATCGTAATGTCCGACAAGATAAAACTCATTTTCATTGCATAAACGACCAAAACTTGTTCGTTTTATAAAATCGCTATAGGAATAAATCGTTGCTCTACGATGAATCGTATGAATTAAATTCACATCAGTATGATTCGATTCGTACAGGGCACCCTAAAAATTTAACATTACGGACAAACATTAGAGAGAGAATATTATAGTAATAAGTTCGTGAATGATGTAATTAACCTACCGGTAAATCTTGATCAATTAATCCCATAGATGTTTCTTGTGGCGAGTAATACCATGAAACTTTGACAATATCTTCGTTACGTGTTTGATAAAATTTCAATACTTTTCCGATATAGGATAAATTCTTTTTTCGTCCATTAAATATCACACAATCACCAATTGTCACTAATTCATCACCACGACTAATCGATCTATACAACGTTTGTTTTACACGTCGAACGGTAATTGTACGACATCGCGTTTCTTCCACAAAAGACCAACTACCAGGATTTGTTGTTGTTATTTTTAACGGTATTTCCATTGATGTCGATGATGTTGATATTAAATCAGTATTGTTGTCATTGGTAGTAGACGGTGGAACGGATATATTATTAAGAACCGATTTTTGATTCGACGTACCTGAGGAATGAGATTTTGTTGAACGTTGACGACATAACGATTGTGAAGATGGTAAGAAGTCCGTCTCAATAGATTTATCACTATGATGCGAACACGATGATGGTTTTTTAATTGAACGTTTTACTGTGTATAATGACGAAATTTGAGATGATGATATCGAATAGATACTAAGATCATTACCTATAAAGAAGGAGACTCAGTCAAGATCGTACATTAGACCATTGAAGTAAGAAAATATGCAAAATGTCAACGGCAGAAGAGTATGAAATAGTTGTAAATTGAAAAGAAATGTTTACCTTTAATTTGAAAATTATTTGGTAATAATCGTATTTCTTCTAACTTCAATAAACCGAAATCATTATCATCAAACAAAACTGCAATCATACCATTCGGTTCGCTCGGTAAACGATTAATAATTCCCGGATGAAGTCCTTTTAAACATGAAGACCAATAACAACATACACGTCGTCCAATTTTAATATCGTCTTTTGTTGGTAATGAATTTTTACACGCTATTTGACACAATTCGACTAATGATAATACATAAGCAATACTCGTTCTTTCGTGTAATACTCGTAATAAAAACATATCTTCAACGTTACTCATTCGATTAACAACTGCCTCATACATAAGACCATTATTAGCTATTAATACTTTTAGACCATCTTCAATGGGATCTGTTGGAACAAGTCGTTCTATACTATTAATTTCTTCATTATTAATTGTCTCGTCTTTGTCTACGATAACATCAGGTAAACATTTATCAGATTCAATTAATTGTTCTGACTGATGTGTTTCTACATCACTGCACGATGTCTGAAGATTAAAAATATTTTCAATGTTATCCAACAACTGAATACTTGTATTTTTTTTAATATCTGACACAGTTGGTTCAATTTCAAATTTTTCTAATAAACAATTATTATGAATAGAATTTCTTCTTTTATTCAATAAAACAAAATTCATTGTTGCTGATAGAAGAGGATAACCCATTGGAATTGATTTTCTAAAATATCAAAAAGAAAAGATAAAATGTCATACATTCATTATACTCTTCATTTCCAATTACTTACTCATCTGACTGAAGTAATGAATGTGGCGAATAATACAATTGTATTAAACCATGACGCTTTTGTCGAGGCAATACATTAATTGATTTATATGATCCACATCGTATTGATGAAATTCGTTTTCGACAACTAAAAAATATATAAGATTTGAAAAAAATATAATTAAATTAATTTTAAATTCATATGACATATAATCTTACATTCTAGTATATCGTTGTCTTCTTAAATATTGTATGCATGAACAATATTGATCAAAGACCTTTTGAAATTGTTTTTCATTGTTAATAACATTTTTTATTAGTTCTGCAAAAAGAAATATAAATGTCATTTAGAAAATATACATAATTGACGAATACGAGTTATAGGAGGATTTAGACATTCAATGGATATAGTTTATAGACCAGTTGAAAATTGACTGAATTAGAAAAAAAATTCGCTGATAATTTGTACTTGGCTCATAACAGTTCATTGCCAAACATATAATATTGTTCGAGAAAAAAAAAAGGTTTGCTGTTGTTATTAGGATTGGTAACTGTTATAAACCAAGTACTTACTAACGTAAATTTACAGCATGGTTTTACAATGATCAAAACTGTGATGTTGTTTTCTTCAATAACCAAAACAAATAAACTCTAAACAGAGCACTTAACCACAGCTAAAGAAATGATTTTCTAAAAATATTAAGTAAAAATCTTACCAGTATTATTCAATTCATCCGTAATTTTACTAGATATAGATGAGAATAATTGTTGACGACCATCTAACTGACAAGCTATTTCTGCTAATCTTAATAATCCATCTTCTTCTGGTAATGAATTAAATCGTTGATGATCATTTATTGAAAAATCTAAATTGTTGATTGATTTTGTTTTAATAAATTTTTCAAATAATTCAAAGCATACAAGATATAATAGATCAGCAGATATTTGATTGGTTTTCTTTGTTATTTTCAAATGTTTATATCGTTTTGGATAACGAAGTGTTTTGTGCAAATTCCGATTAGAAAATATTTTAGATCTAAATGATCGTCGTTGATGTGGTTCATTAACAAATTTGTATGTGTTATCTTCTAGTTTTTTCAGAGTTATTGGAGATATGAGTAGATTAAAATGTTCAGTTGGTTCTGTTTTACAATATCGTGGTAATTCACGAAGTTTTATCGGTGAAAGTATTTGTTTTACACTAAAATCTGTTGTATATTCTGATTTTATTTTTGTCTGAATTTCAGGATTACAATTATAGCATTTTTCATCTTCGATTACCGAGCGTCGTTTTTTATATGGTTTCGATTGTTCATGTATTTGTGAATAACAACGATTTTTGATTATAGGTAGTGAAAAAGATGTCGACGTTTCTAATGCCAATAGTCCTTGAGATTTTGGCAGTATATTATCATCTGCTTTTGGTATAATATGATGTATGTCGAATGATTGACTTTTTGATGGTGGTGAAGACGTTAACAATGAATTATCAGTTAATAATTCGTATTTTACTTTTGTAAATGGTTGATTAATTTTTGATACTTTTGTCGGTGTAGGAGACAATTTAGAACCATTTTGAGTTAAAGAATCGGTGTCTAAGATTCCAGAATGTGGTGATAATTTGAATGTTTCTTCTTCTTTATAATAATCCATATCGTTGCTATAGTTGTTAAATAATATTTTATTTTTTAACGATGTTGATTTTGTTGATAAATCAAGTGGTTCTTCCGATGAATCTGTAATAATTGAAGTTGGGGTTAATACTTGTGAGATAATAATGGGTGATGAACAATTTAAAGAATGTCCAAGTAATTGAGACGGTGACGATAATGTTGGCAATGACATCATGGAATAAACTGGTAGTTCATTTAAATAATCATAAGGATATGTTCTCGTTGTATTTGACCAATCTTCTATTCTAATTCTGTTCAGTGCAGTAGCCACATGTGGTGATGATATAGCAAATGACGTAAGCCAAGAAAATGGGATTGACATAATCAAAAAGTTTTTTTTATTGCGCTCTTTTCTTTCTCTTGTTTTTTTCACTATGTCAATACAGCTGAGTAATCTGAAAATAAAAAAACAATTTAACATCTTTTTTCAATTGTTTGTCACTTTTAGGCATTTGTCAGTACTATAAACTTGACTTTAACATTCAGGTCTAATGATTTAAAGTTTTACATTTTAAATCAAAATTGATTAAAAAGATTAAACTATTTACAATGTTCAATACGATTTTTTTGTAAAATTCTATCTATGAAATTGAAATTTCAACACTAATCATACTATATTCCATCCGTTCTCATCTATTATAAAAACAGCCGTGATTCTGCTAGTCCTGTCAGTTCATATAAACAAGATAAAATAGTAAAATCATAATATTTAATCTTGATAACTATCCATTACGCAGCACGTTAGTTTGTTTGATAAAAGTCAAGTGATGTTTATCTATAATTTACTCAATCCTTGACTGAAATTGCTTCATCAAGATATACAAATCAAAAATACACGGAAAGAATGAAATCTACATAGATAACAAGTAAGAGATCGAAGAATATGTGTCTGAAAAAAAACTTTTGAATCTTTGGTATTGGATCGATCCTTTATTTTCAGTCAACTGAATCGTATCGTTGATGTCAAGCGTACGAATCTATGCTCAAATCATCGTTGACGTTCCATCAATTATTATATTATCATCTATTCAATATGATTCCCGTGATTATTGTTTTTGCACGATCAACTGAACAATATTTTTTATTTCTTTTCAAGTAGTTGAGAATATGAAACTCATAAATAGAAGAGAATAAAAAATTTGTCATTTCATTCAACTTAAATATTTTTCTTCTAATCAACGTTCTCATATTAAATTCATAAATTCCACAATTTTTCTAATGATGACATTGTGATAATACACTATAATCATTACTGAAAATAAAATCGAAATAATGGTATATCTAGACAATTTTACAATACACTGCTGATGCCATTATTGAAATAGTTTATTAGCTATTCTTTTAAAGTTAAAAATCAAATATTTTCAACGAACTAATACAATAAATTATAAAGAATTAGTTGGATAAAAAATTTCTTTTAGAAAATAATAATTCGAATAAAGAATATTTCTAATTAATTATACCTGTATCTAACCTTACAATTTTTTTCTTCTTTCTTTTTTTTTTTGCCCAAAATACTATAAATAATTTTTTTGGATAACTAGCGTTTAACCGCTGTTTTACAAACATTTTTCTCTTTATTTTCTTCAAGATAATAGAAGAAAAAATGGTTAAAAACAGTGATGCATATTCATTTTTATCAACTATAATATTGCACAACAGACTGTCAATGTTATTTATACGAATGTAAACAGAGAAAATGAACTCAAGTGTGAAATCAACCTAATTTTATTTTCATTTGGCGCGTCTAATAAGAAGAAAGATTAGTTTATTAATGAGAATCAACTTATCAAATTATAACAAAGTATTATTATCTATGAACTATCCTTTTTATTTAAAAAAAATCGGTTTTATACGTGAATGTAGAATATGTTTTTATTTTGTTTTTATTCTATTTCTTCAACAATTGTAAATCATTGTTGATATATACTAAAGGCTATATAATTGCTTTGTCACAATCAATATTTTCTATCATACTGAATTACAGGTATTGCTTTAAAGAATCATTTGATTATCAAATCATATTTATAATTACAAGGATTTGACTTTAAATCAGTATTTCATCCTTGTCCTCTACCTTTCACAGTGTATCTTATGTGGACAGCAGACAAATTCATGGAGGAATCCCTTCATGATCCGCGCTCAATGTCTATCAGTTTGAGAAGTACACTCAGCTGTATATAAGCTGAAGTTCGATTAGAGCAATGTTTGACAGAGTTACCGATGGTTTAACTTTGAATTAACTTTTTCTATTATGACGCCTTTCTTATAGAATTAATTAATTAACTCTCTCACGTCGAAAAAATTTGGCGCTTACGCAGTTTAACGTTAAAATGTTTCTAGATGTCAAAAAATGAGGAAAAAAAATGGTTTCTATCATCCTAACATGTCTGTTTACCATTAGTTAGCAATAATCATTATTTTGTATATAACGATAGCTCTCAGTCAACACAACGACCTTACGTTATATGAAAAACTGTTAAGATTCATTTCAAATGAAAGAGTTTTTCGAAACCTACACTTACATCTGTCATATTTTCCAATATCGTTGTTAAATCTTTTTTGACGTATTTTACTGGTAAAAAGCCATTTTAACTGGGGAAACCCTTCGAACAGTCAAACATTTGTTTACGAATCTGTGCAAAAAATAGTTTTTTTTATAAGTTGTCTTTCTTTAGCAGAAGAAAGCATTATTCTAAGAAAAATTGGTCAAATTTTGAATTGAATCGTTAATAACTTATGAGTAAGGTTCATGATGCTGATTCACTCCGTTTCCCGACTAAAGATTAGAATAGACCCCAAAACTGAGATAAACAGGTAAATCGGCTTAAAAAATGCGAGATCGTAGACGATATAAACTCAGAACAGATGTCTGAGGTTTTATCTGTATATAGTCGAGTATTCTCTATTGACTAAGAGAATTTCGACGTTCAGGCAAGGGTGACAAGATCACCTCCTTAAAGTGAATGAGAGCTTTTAATAGAGTCATGATTATCTGTCTGTTGTGTTACTTCGAAGTAGGCATGCACCGATTAATGATCGACGTTGGGACATTCAGGAAAATCGTTCCCACTTGGTTATAGAAAATCTCTCAGAATTGCGGGATGTCTCATTTAGTAGAGAAAGATTTGACCTACAAAAGTAAAGTGTTAAAAAGGTTTCATTATTATATATAGAAAAAATGTGATTAATCAAAAACGCACAAAAGTAGCAAAAAAATGATCGAAGAACGATTATTTTTTTGCGATTTTTGAATACTTATATTTCTGTCACAAATAACATTAAAAGTTTTTTAACACTTTACTTTTGTAGGTCAAATCTTTCTCTACTAAATGGGACATCCCGCAATTCTGAGAGATTTTCTATAACCAAGTGGGAACGATTTTCCTGAATGTCCCAACGTCGATTATTAATTGGTACATGCCTACTTCGAAGAATTGATCAGTTAATCATTTAATTAATGATTGAACGTTTAGCTGACTGATAAAAGAGACTATTTTATGACTATCGAAGTTCAGGAAGCCGGACTTCTCTTTACTAAAAGAGCCTTAGTCTCCAATAGAAGACCTGTTCTAACTATGAAATATGAGTGATATAATAACCACGATGAGATGCTTCTGTTACTCAATGTTTCACGGTGCAGTACAAAAAATATAAGTTTTTTTCTATTTTCAAGACCAATACCATATTATGTAAAATGATGTACGAGTACAATTAAATCCGGGTACCGTCTGTACCCATAAGTAGAGACAAGAAAAAGAAATAGTGATAATAGACACTTGAAGAGAAACGGTACTTGATTCTTTTCATGATTTAAATGGTTCGAATCACAAGATGAGTGAATTTCGAAAAAACAAGTGATAATAAAAATATTAGACAACAGATTCATCGAAATTGAAATTCAGTGAAACTAATAATAGTGATTATGACTTACCAAATGGGTATAAATGCTTTTCTTTTGTCATTCGGTCTTGTAAATGATAGTAAGAGTTTTGTTGAGTTAACGAGGTTTTTATCATAGATGGACCACTGTCAATAAACACTTTTTTATGATAAAAACACGTATATAGTTGTAACTGATTCGTTCTGAGAAGAGAAAGAAAGTTAAGTATCTCGCTGTTTTTATTAATAATTTGTTGTAGAATTCTGTTCTGTATACGCAATGCTTTGACTATGAGTATCAATTTAGCGTATTTTGACTTTGAAACGCTCAATTCATTAGTGTAAATAGTGGTTCACAATTCTAAACACTTTTGAGACATTTTAAAAGAATATTATTGTTTCTAAGTAACAGTAATACACTACCTGTTACTTTAGTAATAGTAATATTTTTTAAAATGTGACTAAAAGTCTCAATTTGTATTAGATATTTTACACTAATAGTTAGTTTTTCCTAAAAACTTATGTTTAAAAAAAACTATACCTCCTGCTAAATAAATCAACATATTTAATAACGGTAAGTGTCATTCATAATATATAAAATCATTAGGCTTTTTTCTTTTTTTTACATAAAAATAGATTTCTTTTTTTTGTGAAAAGAAAAAGGAAAATGACAATTATGCTGTATTATTAAAAAATAAACAAAACAAAACAATAAATAAATAAAAAGAAAAACATTAATTTTTTTCCTGAATCTAAAGAAAGATATATTTTTTTTTTGTTGCTCAGATATATTTTTTCTATTCTTTCATACCTCCAGCCTTACAAATTTCTTTGAAAAATCGATTGCAGGTAGATTTTACCTTTGGGTTATATAGAAAGGACTAGTATATGAAAGAACAGTAGTATGGACACAATCATTTTAAACTAAACGAATATTCTCGAAGAATTTTATTAACAAGGAAATTTATCAAGATAAGTCTATAAAGACAATTTGAAATATAATATAATTTTTGTTAAGTAGAATAAACCTGCAAGTTTTAGATCAAATAAGATGTGAATATTTTATTTATTTTTTTGCGTACTATCTAAAAATATTTACCAAAGGCTGACTTTATACTTTATCTATGTAATGCTTACATCATATTCTATCACATTTTCTTGTTTACTCTATCGGTACAGGTAAAGTAGAGAACACACAAAATACGATCATGTTTCATTAGTACCTATATACCCATTAGTATGACATTTATAACTATCTGCTTCCTCATTTTTCAACATATGGCCATGAAAAATATTTCAAGATCACTATTGTTGTTCGTTTGTAGCATCATATTAAGACACACTCATACTTTTGACAAAATTCAATATACACAATGATGAAGGGAAAAGAAATATTAAAAAATACATACAATAATAAATCAATATACATAGTAGTTCAA